ATTTGCTAACCCTGTATATCTGGGATATAGCTATTTACTAACCCTGTATATCTGGGATACAGCTATTTACTAACCCTGTATATCTGGCATACAGCTATTTACTAACCCTGTATATCTGGGATACAGCTATTTACTAACCCTGTATATCTGGGATATAGCTCTTTACTAACCCTGTATATCTGGGATATAGCTATTTACTAACCCTGTATATCTGGGATACAGCTATTTACTAACCCTGTATATCTGGTATATAGCTATTTACTAACCCTGTATATCTGGGATACAGCTCTTTACTAACCCTGTATATCTGGGATACAGCTCTTTACTAACCCTGTATATCTGGGATACAGCTAATTACTAACCCTGTATATCTGGGATATAGCTATTTACTAACCCTGTTTATCTGGGATACAGCTCTTTACTAACCCTGTTGTAGCGGAGATGCAATAGTACCCAGGTTATCTCCGCTTATAATCCAAGTGAGACTCAGGAACAAGTAAATAGTAAATCCAAAGGCAGGGGTTCCAGCAGGTAAAATACAGCAATATCCCAACAGCAATCCCAATAACTGGACGACACACAGTTTCAGGAGCATAACTGACAAGCCTTTAATCACAGTCTCCTTATAAAGCATGCTCCCAGGCAAGGGAGGGATTTACAGTAATTGTTACAGTAGCCAATCCTGTCCTGGTAACCTCCCACACATCCCCTCCCCTCAGCCAGCATCATAATCCCCTTAGCCAGCACACCAGTTCCCCCCATTTCTGGATGTACCCCTAAACGTAGGGGTACCCCTTTAAATCATATATCCCCGGGTAGCCCTGATCTGGGTGAACAACATATCCAAAAATCACCCAGATCGGACCAGGGGTTCGGGAAAAGTATGGAGGGAATAAAATGACCGGCCGCACGAACAGAGCTAGCCGAATTCGGTTCCATGTGAATGGGCCTTGCGGTCGGTCCTGGCATAAGGGAATAAAATACACGAAAGCCTCTAGCTATAGAGGCTAGGGAGGGTTCGCCTGAATCCCCTCGTTCGGTATTCTTCTATTTACCGAACGAGGGGCCGTTCGGTAGTTTGGAACCGAACGGACCAGGGCTGTGGAGGTCTCAGCGGTGTTCGCCTACTCGAGTGTCCGATTTTAGTTCCAGACACTCGACGGCAAAACACCGCTGTTCGGGAGTTTTAAAATGGCCGCCGCCACGTGTTCGTTTGTCGAATGGCGGCCACCCCCGAGAACAAAGGACGGCTACTTACTGTTCAATTACCCGTTCGCAACAATGTTGCAACGGGTAATTGAGGACACACTTCACACAGGGGAGGTCTGGTTGTTCGGTAGTTTCATTCAAATAAACTAAGGGAATGAAACTACCGAACAATCAGAGGAATACAATTCTTTTTAATACACAGAAAATACAGCAGATACACGGATGCAGCTTTATACAGTATTTTTGTAGGGTCGCCTGGTGCCATCCGCTACACTGCTCCCCCTTGCCCACAAGCCGGCATACACAGTCTGATCCAACACGGATCGGCTTGGGGATGTCCGGGGAGGCTCACGGATCATTTCTCTAGGTCAGTTTGTCGAGACAACCCATCAGCATTTCCATTCTGTTTACCCGGGCGGTACTGGATAGTAAAGTCAAAGGGCTGCAGCGCCAGACTCCAGCGCAGCAGCCGGGCATTGTCCCCAGCCACCCGGTTTAGCCATACTAGCGGGTTGTGATCCGTGAGCAGGGAAAAAGCTTGTCCGTACAAATAGGGCTGTAATTTCTTCAGGGCCCACACCACAGCCAGGCATTCTTTCTCGATGGCGGCGTAGCTTACTTCTCGAGGTAACAGTTTCCGGCTGATGTAAGCCACGGGATGTTCTCCGCCATCGGCCCCGACTTGGCTCAATACTGCTCCCAATCCAAACATAGAAGCTTCTGTGTGGACAAGAAAACGTTTAGTTGGATTGGGAGCTGCCAAGACAGGGGCATTTGTCAATGCATCTTTCAACAACTGAAATGCCTGTTCACACTCCGGGGTCCAGGTTACTTGGCGGGGTAGGTTTTTATGGGTCAAGTCGGTGAGAGGTTTGGCCAGGGCACTGTAATTCGGGACAAATTTCCGGTAGTATCCGGCCGTTCCTAAGAACGCTAACACCTGGGTCTTAGTCCTAGGGGTGGGCCATTGAGCTACAGCCTCTACTTTGGCTGGTTCCGGCTTTTGCTTGCCGCATCCTACCCGATGACCTAGGTACTGTACTTCAGCCATTCCTATGCTGCATTTTGCTGGTTTCAGCGTTAAACCAGCGGCCCTAATCCTATCTAGGACCGCTCCTATATGGGTCAGGTGTTCCTGCCAGGTATTGCTGAATATGGCAATATCGTCGAGGTACGCGCAGGTATAATCCTGGAACCCATCTAGGAGGCGGTCCACCATCCGCTGAAAAGTAGCCGGGGCGTTTTTCATCCCAAACGGCATGACCTTAAATTGGTACAAGCCGAATGGGGTGACAAAGGCCGACTTAGGGATGGCGTCTTGTGCCAAGGGTATTTGCCAATACCCCTTACA